TAACACGCGTGCACGGTCCTCACCACAGCCTGAGGGGCACCTGCTCCCCTCCCTGTGAGCAGATGGGGAGACCGAGGGCTGCTGAGGCCTGCAGGGCTGGCAGGCAGTGGACCCGAGACTCCCTGGTACCTGAAACACTTGGAGACTGTGACAGATTTTTTTCATATGGGTCTTTTTATTATTAATATTATTTGAAAGGCAGAGTTACAGAGAGAGGGAGATAAAGAATTTTCCATCCGCTGGTTCACTCCCCAAATGGCCACAACGGTCAGGGCTGGGCCAGGCTGAAGTCAGGAGCCAGGAGCTTCTTCCAGATCTCCTGCACGGGTGCAGGGGCCCAAGGACTTGGGTCATCTTCTGCTGCTTTCCCAGGCCACAGCAGAGAGCTGGATCAGAAGAGGAGCAGCCGGGACTAGAACCAGTGCCCATATGGGATGCCAGTGCTTCAGGCCAGGGCTTTAACCCGCTATGCCACAGCACCACCGGCCCCATTATGTAACTAGTTTTTAAAAAATTACTTGAGGCCGGTGCCGTGGCTCACTAGGCTAATCCTCCGCCTTGCGGCGCCGGCACACCGGGTTCTAGTCCTGGTCGGGGCGCCGGATTCTGTCCTGGTTGCCCCTCTTCCAGTCCAGCTCTCTGCTATGGCCCGGGAGTGCAGTGGAGGATGGCCCAAGTGCTTGGGCCCTGCACCCCATGGGAGACCAGGAGAAGCACCTGGCTCCTGCCATCGGATCAGCGCAGTGCGCCAGCTGCAGCACGCCGGCCGTGGTGGCCATTGGAGGGTGAACCAAGAGCAAAGGAAGACCTTAGTCTCTCTCTCTCACTGTCCACGCTGCCTGTCAAAAAAAAAATTACTTGAAAGGGAGAGAAGAGGAGAGGGGAGGGGAGGGGAGGGGAGGGGAGGGGAGAGGAGGGGAGGGGAGGGGGGAGGGGAGGGGAGGGGAGGGGAGAGGGGAGGGGAGGGGAGGGGAAGGGAGGGGAGGGGAGGGGAGGGGAGGGGAGGGGGAGGGGAGGGGAGGGGAAGGGAGGGGAGGGGAGGGGAGGGGAGGGGAGGGGAGAGGAGAGGAGAGGAGAGGAGAGGAGAGGAGAGGAGAGGAGAGGAGAGAGAGATCTCCTAGCTGCTCGTTCACTCCCCAAATGCCTGCCAGAGCCAGGCAGGCTGCACCAAGCCTAAGCTGGGAGCCAGGAGCTCAGCCTGGGCTCCTACTTGAGCCATCAGCAGCTGCCTCCCAGGATCAGGTTAGCAGGAGGCTGGAAGCAGGAGCCGAGCGGGGACCGGAGCCCAGGCGCTGCAGTGCGGGAGGCAGGCGTCCCAGGTCTCACCTGCTGGGCCCAGCGCCTGCCCCAAGCGTCTTTCAAGGCTGTTTTCTGTGGGCTCTTCGGAGTCCCTCCCACACTCAGCCTCACCCAGGGGCAGGGATGCACTCCTGGAAGCTCTTTCTTTTCTTCTAGAAGCTTCCGGAAAACCCTTCCTTGCATCTCATCAGCCCAAACCAAATCATAGGCCCATCTTGGGTGCCACTGCCGCTGTGGGCAGATGAAGCAGCCACGTCCAGCCTGGCTCTTCCCGGGGCTCCGTGCCCACGGCCCTGACCCGGAGCCGAGCTGAGGCCCAGATGGTGGACGCCGTCCAGGTCCCGCCGTGGGGCAGTGTAAATAATGGAGATTGCGTTAGCGGGGGCGGAGCTGCCTCAGCTCTGGGGGGAGGGGAGGGGAGGGCACCGGTCGCCCTGCGGAGCTCAGTGCCCTGCAGGGTGCTGGGAGCCGCTTCCTCCCCGGCTGACGTCACTCCAGCCTCGAGGTCAGCGGTGAGGCAAGACCGCTGCTGTCCCGCCTCTGTTTACCGATAGAACAGCTGTCCCTCCTGCAGGGGGACAACAGCCACTCCTGATAAGCACTGGTGACTTCTTGGCAGAGACGCATCTCCCGTGGCTTTGCGGGAAGTAGCCCAGGCCTGCTGGGCCCCGGGTGCAGGGCGTCTGTGAGGACGAGGCCCACGGCTCGGGGGGCCTGAGCCCTGACAGGCCGAGTGGAAGCAGCGTGAGTGAGCTCAGCGACAGCTCCGGGGGGAGAACGCACACCCCGGACAGCTCGCCCTTTTAACTGGCACAGCTCCAGGGCTTCTAGAAGATTCCAGAGCTGGGCTGCCAGCCCCACAGCTGCAGGGCGTTCTCGCTTTCAGCACCCGGCACTGTGTCATAGAAGGTTGAGCCCCTGACAGCAGTGCTGGCATCCCATATGGGAGCCGGTTCTAGTCCCAGCTGCTCCACTTCTCATCCAGCTCTCTGCTGTGGCCTGGGAAAGCAGTAGAAGATGGCCCAGGTCCTTGGGCCCCTGCACTCACGTGGGAGACCTGGAAGAAGCTCCTGGCTCCTGGCTTCTGGCTTCTGCTTTGCCCAGCTCTGGCTGTTGTGGCCATTTGGGGGATTGAACCAGCAAATGGAAGCTTTCTCTCTCTCCCTCTTTCTGCCTCTGCCTCTCTGTAACTCTGATTACGAAAAAAAAAAAAAAAAAAAGCCCCCTTCCTCATGTCTCCCGCCCACCGCCCACTCCTTCCAGGCCCTAGCCTTGTGCAACTCCAGCCAACTTTCTGTCTCTCTCTTTTTTAGAAGATTGATTTATTTATTTGAAAGTCAGAGACAGAGAGGGAGGTCTTCCAACTATCTGTTCACTCCCAAGATGGCTGCAATGGCCAGGGCTAGGCCAGGCCAAAGCCAGGAGCCAGGAGCTTCACCCAGGTCTCCCACATGAGTGCAGGGGCTCCGCTGCTTTCCCAGGCCTTTATCAGGGAGCTGGGTCAGAAGTGGAACAGCTGGGACTTGAACCAGCACCCAGATGGGATGCTGGTGTCCAAGATGGCAGCTTTACCTGCTGTGCCACAGCTTTCTGTCTTTTATGTGGGTGTTTTACATTTAAAAAATATTCTAAAATCTATTTTTCATTTATTTGAGAGAGTTCTTCCAGCCGCTGGTTCACTCCCCAGGTGCCTGCAATAGCTGAACCCGAGCCAGGCCCAAGCCAGGGGAGCTTGGAGCTCCATCCTGGACCCCCGCATGGGCGGCAGGGACCCAAGTACTTGGGCCACCACGGCTGCCTCCCAGGTGCGTTGGCAGGGAGTTGGAATCAGAAGTGGAGCTGGAACTTGAACCCAGGACACGTGGTGTCCCAGGCGCCTGCCCCCTCGCCGGGTGTTTTAAGTGTGCCGTTTATTTCCCGGCAGGTGAGTTTTGGCCAAAACAAGGAGGAGAGGGAAGTCACGTGCTCCAGCGTGAAGCCACAGACTCAGTGTGGGTGGTGTCCCGCGACGTCCCACCTGGCACGCACCTGCTCCTCCAGCGGGCTGTGGTTTTGTTGAAACTTCAGCAGCTCTCTTGGAACTCGGAGCTCGCTGTCCAGGAAGGTGGTGGGGACGGGGTGTATGCGCGGTGGGTGGTCTGGGGGCGCGGTGCGGTAGAAGGAATGGGGCAACCACAGAGATCCAGGGTTTAAGGTTGGCCGGATTGGCTGAGGCCTTGGCCTGAGGCTGAGCAGCTGACCGCAGACCTCGGCTCAAGGGGCCCAGGGCTGCTTTTGAGTCAGGCTTGCAGAATCCTGGCCAGATAAGGGTCAACAGGGGAGGGCTGGTGAGGAAGGAACAGGGCTCCAAGGAGAAATTCTTTTGTTTCTTCAAATTCCTACAAGGTCTGGGGCAGAGGGGCTCCCAGGCCCACCTCTGGCCGTGCCTCCTGCCATCAGCCAGCTGGAGCCTGCTGTCTGGGCCCTGGACTGGGGGAAGGGCCCCCTAGACCCAGGCCCTCATGGCCCTGGCCTCAAGCCCACCTCCTCCTGAATTCCCACAACGCTGGGTGCGTTCTTGTCCCAGCTTCAGTGTCCTGGCTTGTAAAACAAGAAGCAAAGTCCACGGAAGATGCAACAGAGGATTGGTTTAGGGAGTGGGCGTTGGGCTAGCGGTTAAGGTGCCCGCCACCCGCTCCAAGTGCCTGGGTTCAGTTGCCGGCTCAGGCTCCTGGCTCCAGCCTTCTTCCCACTTCTGTGGACCCCGGGAGGACGTGGTGATGGCTCAAATAACTGGGCTCCTGCTGTTAATGGACATGGCTGCAGTGGAGGTCCTTGGACGAACCCAGACGCGAGACAGAATCTGAGAGGTTGGGGACAGCAAGGCCACAACGTTGAGGGCGGCAGTGCACCTACCGGGCCAGCGGGCGGCTCAGGCAAGCGCTGGGCGTGCAGTCTGCCTTCAGGTCTCCCCGCCCCTTCCCCTTCCCCTCTTCCCTCTTCCCCTGGACACAGGGTTTGCAACAGGGGAAATTTCTGCTGAGGTTTCACTGCCAGCCAGCGGCACTCCCTCTAGGGTGCCTTCCCTGGGGGAGGGCTGGGAAGGCTTGGTCACCAGGGTGATCAGATAGGGTGGTGCTGGGCAGCGAGGATTCTCCTGGGAGCTTTGCTGGAGGGGAGGCTGGGACCCCTGTAGGGTTATCGGAGTGTGTTATCGGGACAAGCTTCAGGCAGCTACACCGTGTCCTGCTCGGTGGGGGCCATGCCTGCTTCTCCCTGCACTCAGCCTGTGCCTCGCTCAGCATGTCCAGGATCGTCAAGAGCGGGCCTGTGCTGGGCCCTGTGGCCAGCGTCCTCTGATGCCCCAGGGACCGTGTCAGGCAGCTCGCTGGCGAGGAGTCAAGTCCGCCTGTGTCTCCGGGCCATCAGCTGGTGAGAGACAGACCGCAGCTGCCTTGGCTGTGTTGATGCAGAGCCTCAAAGGTCAGTTCGGCTCAGCTATTGCAGGCATTTGGGGAGTGAACCAGCGGCTACAAAGAGCCCTGTCTCACCTCTTCATTTGCTCTCTGGAACTGACCTTTGGCTGTTGACCTGGGGAGCAGGAAACTGGTAGGACACCAGCAGGTGGTTTTGCAAACTCCTCCCATTGGACGCCATCTTTGAACTGCCTTCTGTGCCTAATTTCCACACAGATTCCCCCTTTTTTGTTTTATATAAAAGAGAGAAAAAGAGGAACTGAGCAGAGAGTGTGCCTGTCTTAGGCTGTCCCCTCTGACTGGGATCAGTGCTTTAGGGAGCATGTCTTAGGTTGTCCCCCTCTGGGGATCTTACCCGCCTTTGACTACCACTCCAGCTGTTAAGGGCTGACCTGGGGATCTTACCCGCCTTTGACTACCACTCCAGCTGTTAAGGGCTCACCCGGGGATCTTACCCGCCTTTGACTACCACTCCAGCTGTTAAGGGCTGACCTGGGGATCTTACCCGTCATTGACCACTACTCCAGCTGTTAAGGGCTGTCCCGGGGATCTTACCCGCCTTTGACTACCACTCCAGCTGTTAAGGGCTGTCCCGGGGACCTTACCCGTCATTGGCTACCACCTCAGCAACTCAGTGTGTGATGTATTACATCTCTGCATCTTGGCAGTGGCCGTGGGCGGATGTAGAGTTCCCAATCTGGCACTTAAAGAGCGGCCTAACCCAGTTCTTAAAGAGTGGCATATAGTTGTCGGACCACCATTAACTGGACTGCAGCAGTGCAATCTTAGACAAATTTACAAGGACAATGGAGACCAAGGGACAAGGGGGAGGAGACAAGGAAGCCATCCCCCGAGGCCCGACCACAGGTAACTAGAGCTGCAAGATCTTCTTGGAGGGTCTTGACCTTGTCCTTGATGATGCTGGAGGGATTAGCATAAAAACAGCACTCCTGATGTCCCATGATGCTCCAGTCACAGTGAGGCAGGGAGTCCAATATGGTCTTTTTATCCCCGTGAGAGAAAAGAAAAGTCACTCCTGGGTGACATTCTTTGGCAAAGGGGGGATATTTAAGGTTTCTTGCAGGTACCCATCCGGGGTTGGAATTCCCCTGAGGGAAGACACATCCGACTCCTCTACCAGCCCTTATCCGTGGGTCTGGTCCTCGCCAGCATCCCGTTAGTGGGTTTTCCCATTTTACCCTGACCGAAAGGTAGGGTACTTGGAGGGACCAATGTCTGTAAAAGGCTGACAAGGGCTGATGTTTTGGAAAATTTAAAATATTTAAGGTGAGCATGGCCATTTGTAGCTGGTCTTGTGGGGGTGTGATTCTCCCTTTTTGTTTCATAAGTTGGTTTTTTATTTTATTTTATTTTGTTTGTTTGATGATTGTTTGTCCTTATAGGTTGTGAGGAATTTTAGCAGAGTGTTGAGTCATTTTACGTCTTGGCAGCACTTTTAATTTAAACATTTACAAGATGGCGGCGGGCGATCCAAGGGAGACAAAAGGGAGAATACCCATAAAGGGGTGGCACATGGGCGGCACTAGGCCCTCTGTGACTGGAGGTGTGGTGGGCGGCACTAGACCCTCTGTGACTAACTGGAGGTGTGGTGGGCGGCACTGGGCCCTCTGTGACTGGAGGTGTGGCAGGTGGCACTAGACCCTCTGTGACTGGAGGTGTGGCGGGCGGCACTAGGCCCTCTGTGACTGGAGGTGTGGCGGGCGGCACTAGGCCCTCTGTGACTGGAGGTGTGGTGGGCGGCACTAGGCCCTCTGTGACGGGAGGTGTGGCGGGCGGCACTAGGCCCTCTGTGACGGGAGGTGTGGTGGGCGGCACTGGGCCCTCTGTGATGGGAGGTGTGATGGGTTGAGGCAGCGCTGGGCCGCTACACCTGAAGGCTCCACCTTAGTTTAACGGCTTTCGGGGATTTATGAGCCCCCTCAGGCCGGTACAGGATTCATTTGCATTTAACAAACTGGTCCCGAAGGCCCCCAGCCAGCAACTCACGATGGAGACTGTGCTGGACCCTGGCTATAAAACCCGGCCATGACTCTCCCGGCTGTCGCACCTCCGCGGTGGGAGATGCAGGGGAGCCCTCATCCAGCTCGTACCGAGCATGAAGTCCTGCCTGCCTCACCTGTGCAGGGCACAGAGCGGGTAGAGAATCCCTCCCCGCCCAGCCTGCATAGCATACGTAATGGGGGTAGCCGGCTGGGCTGCTCGGTTGGCTTCGGCCCTCACCCGGCACTCCTCCTTAGAGACGGCACACCACGTTATGAACTGGGGACTCGCGAGGACTGCCTTGGCCACGACCAACCAGCCCTCGGGGACACATGGGTGATGAGCTATGTCTTGCAGCAGGGTTTGGGCCCAGGGGGAGTTCGGCCCGTCTTCCGCCACTGCCTTGCGAAGCTCCTGTAAGTCCTTCGCTTCCCAGGGACAACACTCCAGACGTCTGTTGCTGCCTGGAGCTGAATTACCAGGGCAGGCCTGAGGCGGCAGGTTCCCAGGCCCAGAGTTCACTTCCCTACGCTGCTTTATGTCCACCGGATAAGCTTCCGCAAAAGTCACCTCATTTCTCCTCTCCCCTACTGGGCAATCGTAAGGGCCCGGATCACACAGCTCCCTCCACGGCTCTACATAGGGGGAGGCCACCTCTGTCCCTGGGAGGTATGGGGGGTCCTGGCCCTTCTGGGGTGGATGGGCTAGGCGGGACGATTTTCATTTTCGTGCATCCACGGGGTCTCTGCGTTCCTGATCAAACTTAGCCCATTCCCTCTCCCCGCCATCGTCCTCTGAGTCTTTAGGCTCCCCCAAGTCCTGCACTGCCTCTCTCCCTCTCGCCCTTGGAAGGTGGGGGTATAGCGTCCGGGTGGAAGGATGCTTTAAGGGTGGTATCAAAGTGTCTCTCCCTCTCAAGGGTGAGCTCTTCCACCCGTGACCAAGTGTTCCAAGAAAAGAGATTGGCCGTCCGAATCCAAAGGGCCAAGGTTATGACGGCTTCCCAGACACTTTTTAACATATAGCGTAAGGCCTTTAAGGCCGGGTCCTTTTGGGACGAAACTGCATCACCCATCCTGAAGGTTTCACTTTCCCTGACAGACCGCTTAGCTTTGGCCGAAAAGTTACTGGTCATGCCCCACGCTGGGCGTCAGATGCAGGGTCTTAGTCCACCCGAACGAGCATGGTCTGGGTCCGAAGAAAGGTAAGTGCGCCGCTCGCCCGTTCCCCAGCTCGCCCGTTCCCCAGCCTCCCAGATCCCGGAGACAGTCAGACGCAGCGGGGAGTCAAGTCAGGCAAGAACTCATTTATTGAGCGCGTAGCAAAGCCTTTTAAAGCACAAGACCGCAGGATTACTGGGGCAGGGCATAAGGACCAACCAATTACTTAAAAGGTCATTTTACAGGGCGACTTTTTACAGGACCAGCCATATGTCTGTACACTCATCATCAGTTGTCACCTCCCCTGATGCTGCATGGCCAATCAGCTTTGGTGGTAAATGACTTTTGGTCCCGCCCACCTTACTTCCTTTGGGTGCCATCTTTGAATTGCCTCCTGTGCCTCATTTCCCCACACACGAACAGGTGGCCGTGTGCTCCCTGCAATCCTGGAGCCGAGGAGGAATGCTGGCCACAAAAAGGCAATGGGGACGGGGGACGGGGGTCCATCCTGAAGACAGTGGGAGCTCTTGCTTAGAGAAAGCACCGAGCCCAGGGGAAAGCAAGGCCCTGGACTCTGGGGACTGCTCGAGGCCCCCAGTGGCCTTCCTCTGAGCCATGGCTGGATGGGCCCTGCCCACCCACCCACAGGCTCCGAACTCTGGCCATTCTGGGGGGCAGGGGCCTTAAGTCTTAAAGTTGAAGTCCAAGCAGACTCTGAATATATGCCCCAAATCAACAGTCTGCATTTTTTTTTTAATTATTTATGTGTCTGTATCGTGGCTTTGCCAGATACAGGAAGTGGCCCTGGGAACTAAGATTGGACCAAGGGAAGGAGAAATGGTGGGCGCTGTGGTGCAGCCGGGGTTAAGCGGCTGCCTGGCACCCTGCACCCCGTACCGATCCAGCCGTACCGATCCAGCCTCCTGCCGGTGCACTGGAAGACAGCAGCTGACGGCACACACGGAATTCCAGGTTCCTGGAACTGGGCTCTCGTGGCCGATGGAGTGGGAAGGGTGTCGGGAGGAAAGGTTCGGAGTACAGAACGCCCTGTTTCCCGTGCGTTTGTCCTGGTTTCTGCTTTCCCGGGTCGGCGTGGCTAGCCTGCGGTGCCCGGTGACTCAGCACTGTCATGTGGGCTGTGCCAAGTGTCCATCACCAGCTGACTGGAAGCTTGAAGGTCAGTGGGGTGGTCAGAGCGGGCCTGGAGCAGCCGCGGGACGGCCTGGGGAGCTGGGCCTGGGAGCTGCAGTTCCATCCTGCCCGCCGGGGGCTCCCGGGCTGCCCTTCCCGCCCGATCGCCAGCCTTCTGGGCTGTGGACCTGTCTACCAGCCCGTAGCTGCAGTCTGTCTCCTAACACCAGTCTTCACCCGGTCTGCTTCTCTGGTTAAATCCAGACGGGTAGATGAGGCTACCTGATTTTTTTTTTTAACCACCTGCATTGCTTAGGTAAACCATGCATGGAGGTCAAGCCAAGTGAAAGTTCAACCATTCGTGGAAAGAATGAGGGAGACCACGAGGCAGTGGCCGGGGAACGGAACGGAAGGAGAGGCCGTTGGCGCAGCTGCTCCGGGGCAGGACTGAGGGGTGCAGCCACAGGTCCCCACACCCGCCCCTTTTTTTTTTTTTATTTGACAGATAGAATTAAACAGTGAGAGAAACAGAGAGAAAGGCCTTCCTTCTGTTGGTTCACTCCCCAAATGGCCACTACGGCTGGAGCTATGCCTATCCGAAGCCAGGAGCCAGGTGCTTCTCCTGGTCTCCCATGGGGTGCAGGGCCCAAGCACCTGGGCCATCCTCCACTGCCCTCCCAGGCCACAGCAGAGAGCTGGACTGGAAGAGGAGCAACCGGGACTAGAACCCGGTGTCCATATGGGATGCCGGCACCGCAGGCGGAGGATTAACCAAATGAGCCACAGCGCCAGCCCCACACCTGCCCTTTTGTCCTGTTCCCATCAGGTACCAGCTTGCCATGAGACTTTCTTTCTTTGTTTCCAGAATATTCCTTTCATGAATCAGCGCCTACGGCAAGGGGGTGAGAAGTCAGGCCATGATGCCAAGCTGCCAGGGCTGTCACTCAGATCCTATCTCAGGGCTGCTGGGTGACCGCCTGCTGGCCCCACAGGGCACAGGTGCCGCAGCAGGCGCTGGTGGGAGGTCCCTGCTGCCGCACGTCAGAGTGGGTTCCACTGGGCGCCTGCCTTGACCAATACGGCAGGAGGGGATGTCGGGTGGGGGAGCCCCGAGTCATCTGCCTGCACCCAGTTCCAAGATGGCTGAGGAGGTCTGTCCTGGCTTCTCCCCTGAGTCATTCGGCAGAGACTCGCCACCCCGTCCACGGGAGCTTGTGCCTGGACACCCCGATGCACCCACGGGCCCAGGGACAGAGCAAGTCCTTGGGCTGCCACCTGGCCCAGCCGGATCCTTCAGGGTCTCTCGCTGGGACCCCGCATGTGGCTGCCAGGGAGCCGCTGGCTTCCAGGCCCCGCCTCCCCGCCTCCCTTTGATGTGAGCAGTGCCTCTCCCAGGGTGCCAACCTGCTGCCCTTGGGCAGGGACCGTCCCCCCCTGCCCACCCCATCCCAGGAGGGGGAGCTCACACCTGAGCTGAAGGGATTTGACCCCTGGGTGACCAGGTGCTGTCTTTCTCTTTGAGGTGGACTTGGGTTCTATAAAATGCACGTCTCAGGGAGGGTTTGCATTCACGCGAAGGCGCTGGCTGCTCGTGAAGCCCCTCCCCCAGCCCCGCCCCCAGTCCTCACTCGGCACATTTGTTCTGCCGGTGACTGAACTGGGTCAGGACGGAGCCCGAGGGGTGCCTGCTCTCTGCCCAACCGCCCGTGGACGATCTCCACTTGCTTGTTTGTTCTTTGTCTCTGGGTTCACAGCGACCTGTACAGCAACTTAAAACAATACGAGAGCACCCTTCCCCTTCTGTCATCTGCAGAAAACACAAAAAAGCCGACTTGGAATGTCAGGAACGGCCCCAAATCAGTTTGTCCTCTCACAGAGTAAGGGAGCTCCGGGAGACTCATGGGAAGTGGGACGGGAAGTTTGGTTTGCTCTGTAGCACACAACGTCTGACACGCACTGCGTAGCTTTTCACACTGAGTGCTTTTCATAAACTTTTTGAAAACCCTGTTGTTGTATGTATGCATATCAAAAATTCTTTTGCAGGGCCGGCACTGTGGCGTAGCGGGCAAGGCTGCCGTCTGTAGTGCCAGCATCCCATAGAGGCACCAGTTTGATTCCTGGCTGCTCCACTTCCCATCCAGCTCCCTGCTAACGAGCCTGGGAAAGCACCAGGAGACAGCACAAATGCTGTGGGAGACCTGGAGGAAGCTCCTGGCTCCTGGCTTTGGTCTGGCCCAGCCCCAGCCGTTGTGGTCATTCGGGGAGTGACCCAGTGGATGGAAGACTTTTCTCTCTGTCTCTCCCTCTTTCTCTGTAACTCTGCCTTTCAAATAAATTAATTAAAAAAACTTTTTTTGCATCAAAATGAACTTATCTTTGAATTCTCCTTTGCATGAACGTTTTGATGCTCCTTGTGTGTAGACAGTAGGGTCACGGTGAGGGGGATGCGAGACCCCCTTGGCCTGGTGTCTGCTTCCTCCGGGCACCCCTGCCCCCCAGGTCCAGAATCCGGCAGGGCCAGCAGGGCCAGCTGGAGGGCTCAGCTGGGGCTGGTGCTGAGCACAGAGGCAGAGGGCTCCCTGTGCTTCTGGAGAGAACCTTACCTGGAGTCTGTGTGGCAGCCTGGGAGGGGCTGTGGTATGGGCGGAGCCAGCTGGAGGAGGAGGAGGAGGAGGGAGACGGGCTCAGGGTTTTCCAGCTTCCAGTTTAGCCTTGAGCTGCTGGTTATAAATTTGGCCCTGGGGGTTCAGGGACAGATCCCAGAGCTGAGACAGCGACAGTCGGGACAGCAGCATGCTGGCCAGGGGGCTCCCCTCCCGCTCAGTCTTCCTCAGAGGTTGCCAGGCCTCCCTGAGCACTGCCCAGGAGGGCCTGGGTCACCCGGGGGTGCCCACCCGTGAGGGAGTGGGCATGGCCACCCGCAGCCCTCGGCCCTACCACGAGATCCCCTCCCCTGGGGACAATGGCTGGCTGAACCTGTACCACTTCTGGCGGGAGAAGGGCACACACAGGGTCCATTATCGTCATGTGCAGAACTTCCAGAAGTATGGTCCCATTTACAGGTAAGCCTGGTGGAGGCTGGGGGCTCCGGCGCGGGGCAGGGGCAGGGAGGCCGGGGGCCTGCAGTCCGAGGTCTGTCCCGGCTGCTCCGCTCCCGCTGGCCTTCTGATCCACCTTCAGACATTCCTTAGAAAATGAGCATTATCCAGAAGCTGTGTGTGATTCCGTAACTGTTTTGCACCCAACAAAGCTTAGGTTTTCAAACCATTTTCCACCAATGTTTGGAGCCCCCTGCTATTTCTTCCAGGCCCTGGGGGTGGTGGTGGGGAGGAGGCAAAGGTTTCCAAAGGGAGCAAGCCCTGCCGAGTGCCTCCCTCCAGCTGCGACCCCCACCAGGGCGCCTGGGCAGGTGCCAAGTGGGGGATCCCTCGCTCAGCCCCTGGGGCCCTGGGGCAGCTGCTTCCCCCGAGGAGGACCCGGCGGATTGGGGTTTCAGCCCTGGAACCCCCAGAGCCTGGGTAGTGGAGTCCTGGGCGGGGCCTCTGGAGCCCACTTGGGTTCTCCCGCACCGCTGGGAGGTATGGGGGGGGCAGTGCGGGAGGCAGTGGCTGGGGCACATCTCACTCTAATCAGTGGGTCTCTATCAACCCGCGAAGGCTCTCCCTTCCCCACCTTTCTTCTCTGACCCCCCCCCCCCAGTTGGAGGAAGGGCACCCAGCCCACCCCCCACCCCCCAGGGAGCCGCTGCACCTTCCCACCTCTGCCCTCTCTTTCTCCCAGACCTGTCCTAACCTCCTTGCTCCTCCCGTGGGTCGCCAGCTCCTCCCTCCCCAGGGGAGCCCCTGGTTTTACGAGGCCCCTTTCTGGGTGCTGTGTCTTTGAGGGTGGTGTGTTTCTCCCCGTTTTATAGATGGAGGAAACCGAGGCTCAGGCGGGAGAGGGTCTCGCTGAAGTCGCACAGCTCGTCGGCGCACGGGCAGGGCTGGAGTCCGGCACCCTGCTCTGTGCGTCCTCCAGTGCGGTGGCTGACAGCCTGGGGCACAGCGGGAGGGCTCTAAAACCCCCAGCGGGGAGACGGCGCGCTTCCCACTCCTTGCTCGGCTGCTGAGAGCACACAAGCAGCAGACCCGACCTCAGCTCTGCCGATATCTTACAAGGTCTTAAGCTCCTGGAACCTGGAATTAAAGGATCAATTTCCTCTGGCACACAAGACTTTGAAATCATGCATGGGGGGGGGGGTCATCAAAGACTTCACAAAAATTGCATATTATGCAAAAAATATGCACAGATTTCAAAGTTTTTTGCACCAAAATGTCTTCTCTTTTAATTCCATTTTCCACAACCTTTTTTTTTTTAAAGAAGAGATTTATTAATTTATTTGAAAGGCAAAGTGAGAGAGAGAGAGAGAGAGAGAGAGAGAGAGAGAGAGAATGTGTCCGTCTACAAGTTTACTCTCCAAATGGCTGCAATGGCTGGGGCTGGGCCAGGCTGAAGCCAGGAGCCAGGAGCTCCTTCCAGGTCTCCCACGTGGGTGGCAGGGGCCCAAGGACTTGGGTCATCCTCTAGCTTTCCCAGGTTCATTATCAAGGAGCTGGATCAGAAGTGGAGCAGCCGGGACTCCAACCTGCACTCCTTAGGGATGCTGGTGCTGCCGGTGGCGGTTTTACCTGTGGCACCACGACGCCTGCGGGCCCCTTAAGCTCTATCTTCGATTTGCTCTCTAAGGTAGCTACCAGACAGCAAGAACGGGGTTTTCCTGTGGTTTCCTAGCTGTTGCATTTCCTCCGTCTCTGGCTTCAACAACAGAAATGCCTTTTTCACACGGGTCTGGAAGCTGGAGGCTGAGACCTTGGGCGTCTGCAGACTTGTTTGCATTCAGCCAAGCCAGCTCCGGTCTCCCTGTGGTCCTCCCGGCGGGGGTCTCTGAACCGCTGCCGCAGGGCCCTTCTGTCTGGCGCTACACCCGCGCCAACAGGTGTAGCCCTCAACTCCCAACACAGACCTCGGATAGACTTTCTAAGAGCAGGGAGGCCACTCCCAGAAGTTTGATCCTAAAGCGCAGTAGGGACCAGCCGGCTGGGAACATGGCCTAGTAGGGGTGGGCGGTGGGTGGGGAAGCCTTGCCAGGTGCCTCAGGGCGCGCCCTGAGGGATGCCTGCGCATGCGCTCTGTCCTGCGCTCTGCGCGAGGCTGGGGAGCGGCCGCGGGTGTGGACCCTAGGGGAGGGCTCTGGGTGAGGGTGTGGCCTGTCCAAGGCTGGCAGCTGCAGGGGTCATGCCACTGAACAGAGGTCAGCGTTATGCATTCCGTGTTGGCTCTACCTGCGCTTCAGAGAAGGGGCGGGGCCAGCAGGCAGCTGAGCCCTGCTGCAGACCTCAGCCCCTCCCCGACCCCACCCCCGTCCAGGGAGAAGCTGGGCAACGTGGAGTCCGTTTACATCATGGATCCCGAGGACGTGGCTCTGCTGTTCAAGTCGGAGGGCCCCAGCCCCGAGCGGTTCCTCATCCCGCCCTGGGTCGCCTATCACGAGTACTACCGGAGGCCGGTGGGCGTCCTGCTCAAGTGAGTCCTGGCCGGGTCCCCAGGGGCGCAGCGGGTGACAGTCTCCACGTCACCTCTCCTGTCCGGGCCTTTGCCGAGCCCTGCTTCGCTCATTAGGGCTGCGCCTTCCTGAGGCCCCACTGTGCGCAGGCCTCCTGCCAGGCGCCGGCGGGGGGCGGGGGCGTGGCAGCAGGGCCGGGCCGCCTGCGGGTGGGTAGCAGAAGCCGTTGTCTGCCAACCGCTCATCAAAGACTTCAAATACGGGGCGGGCCTCCGGAGCCATGGTTAAGATGCTGCCCAGGAGGCCTGCGGCCCTTGTCTGAGTTCCCGGGGTTCGAGTCCCGGCACTGCTCCTCTTCCAATTCCAGCTCTTAGCTTCCTGCCACCCATGTGGGTGGCTGGGATGGAGTTCCCAGCTCCTGGCCAACATGGAGGAGTGACTCAGTGGAGGGAAGGCCTCTGTCTGCCTTTCTGCCTTTCAAAAATGAAAAACAAAAAACCAAAAAAAAAAAAAAAAACCAACAACAAAAAAACGCCAACAAACCAAAACTCAACAGGCGCTGAGACGGCGGGGCGGACGGACCTGCGCTGCTTTGCAAGTGGCTGGCCGTGCTCTGTGGGTGCGGGAGCCTCTCGTCCCCGTGATGCGGCTGCTGTGGAATCTGCGACGTCCTGACACGCGCCGGTGCTGCTCCGAGCAGCCGCCGCAGGCAGACAGCCCACAAGGGCCCTGCGGCGTGGAAGCACCGCCTCCCACCGTACCAGTGGGTCCGTGCAGGGAAGTCCCCCAGAGCTTGGCACTGTTTTTTTTTTTTTTTTTTTTAATAAAGATTTATTTTATTTATTTGAAAGGCAGAGTTAAAGAGAAAGAGATCTTCCATCCGCTGGTTCACTCCCTGAATGTCTGCCATGGCCAGGGCTGGACCAGGCCAGAGCCAGGAGCCAGGAGCTCCTTCTGGGTCTCCCATGTGGATGCAGGGGCCCAAGGACTCGGGCCATCTCATGCTGCTCTCCCAGGTGCATTAGCAGGAAGCTGGATTGGAAGTGGAGCAGCCGGGACTCCAACCGGTGCTCTCATATGGGGCGCTGGTGTCACAGGCAGCGTTTTAACCCACTGTGCCACAATGCCAGTCCCCAGATATGGACCGGGGCCATCTTCCTCTGCCTTCCCAGGTGCATTAGCAGGGAGCTGGGTCAGAAAAGGAGCAGCCAGGACTTGAACCGGCACCCAAATGGGATGCCAGTGGGCATTGCAGATGGTGGCTTTACCCACTACGCCATGGTGCTGGCCCTGTGTATATATATATATATTTTAACATTTTTCTGAAAGTACCTTTTAGAAAAGAATTGCACCTGGGCAGAACGATGCAGAAGAGAGGGGGAGGCCCGCAGGTCCCCTGGACAGCGAGGACGGCTGGGGGAGGGGCAGCTGTGACAGTCCCAGTGTCCCCCGGGGTGTGGGGGGTGGGGGTGGGGGTTTATAAGGACTCTCATCAGCAAGCTCAGCTCCCAGAGCACAGTGCATGGGGGGGGGGGGTTTCCAGGCCCTGAGATCTGCCTCCTGCCCAGTGAATCCCAGGGTGCTCTGGGGTGCAGCAGAGGGGAGGCCGGGGCATTTGGTCTGGAAGAGTCAGGAAGGCCCCAGAATGGCAGCTGAGGCCCCGGGACAGGCGTGCGCACTGTAGGGTCTGCTTCCAGTGTGGGAAGAGTGGGGAGCAGGCGAGCCCAGGGTTTGTTCTCCTTCCTCCCTGCTCCCCCGGGCCAGGCAGGGCAGGGAGGGGGAGGAGGAGCGGGCGGGGGCCGCGAGCCCAGCTCTGTGCTCTGCGGCCGGGCCCAGGGTCTGTTATGTGCTGGGGGCAGCCCTGAGGGCCTGTGCTTTCGCAGGAAGGCCCAGGCCTGGAAGAGAGACCGCGTGGCCCTGAACCAGGAGGTGATGGCCCCCGATGCCATCAAGAACTTCGTGCCCCTCCTGGAGGCCGTGTCGCAGGACTTCGTCCGCATGCTGCACGGTCGCGTCCAGCAGGGGGTGTTCTCAGGCGACATCAGTGACGACCTGTTCCGCTTTGCCTTCGAGTGTAAGGGGCTGGCGCCTGCTGCCAGCTTGGGCTGGGAGCGTGGGGGGGGCGGGGGGGGTGGGCTGGGTAGGGAACCAGCACTCGACCTCTTACCCAAGACCCCGGCCAGACCCGGCCAGAGCTTCCACCCTCCACCTCCACCCGCAGGTTTGGGGGTCAGCCCTTCATTCTGGTCTGCTTCTCTAGGGCACCAGACTGTCCCCTGGAGGTCTGGCAGGGACACTCAGTCTGAGTTTTGGAGTCGCCGCAGGGGTCTGGCAGCACATGCAAAGGGCCTGTGGCTTGGTGGAGACCATATTGTCACTGTGGAGACTCTGGGGTGACCCCAGAGCTGGGACGAGATCAAATTCCTTACCTGCTGGCAGGGAATGCTTGAAGCTGTGGTGACCCCTCAGGTCCAGCCAGACTGGGCCCTGGACGGCTGCTTTCCCAGGGAGCACCCACCTGCCCTCTGCAGGAAGTACTGGGCCAACGCCGTCCACTACGGATGGGAACCGGCCGGGCGGAGGACAGCCCAGTCCGGGACCCTCTCTCCTGGCTCTTGGGAGCCCCTGCTTCCCAGAGACCCCTGCTGGGGGCCTTCCACTTGCCCCCTCCGAGGGCCCCTTGTCAGCCCTGCCTCAGCCCCGGGGAGCTCAGGCCTCTGTCTCTGCGGATGGCAGCTGAGGAGGGGTCCAGAGCTCCTGGCTGTGGTGGGAGGGGGCGCCGGGGCCCTCGGACGGCCCCGCTGGAAGGGCTCCCCCGCCCCCGCAGCCATCACCAACATCATGTTCGGGGAGCGCCTGGGGATGCTGGAGGAGACGGTGGACCCCGAGGCGCAGCGGTTCATCGACGCGGTCTACCAGATGTTCCACACCAGCGTCCCCATGCTCAGCCTGCCACCGAGCCTCTTCCGCCTCTTCCGCACCAGGACCTGGAGGGACCACGTGGCCGCGTGGGACGTGATCTTCACCAACGGTGAGGGGCAGGGTTGGAGGGCCCAGGCTGGAAGCCCCAGGCCTCGCCTGTGCCCGTGGGAACCCCAGCCCCCGGGGGTGGTGTTGGGGAGGCCCTGGGCGCCTGGCAGGCGGGGGCTGGGGTGGGCTGGGGGCTGGCAGTGGCCGGCAGTTCTAGATTTTTCTGGACAGAGAGGTTTGAAGACTGCTAAGGTGTGGGAGCCCACTCCTGTTGTTTCTCTACTCCCCCCCGCCCCACACAGCTGACAAATACACCCAGAGCTTCTACTGGGACCTGAGGCAGAAGCAGGACCTTGGGGGCAGCTACCGTGGTATCCTCTACAGCCTCCTGGGGACCAGCAAGCTGTCCTTCGAGGACATCAAGGCCAATGTCACCGAGATGCTGGCCGGAGGTGTGGACACGGTGAGGGGCCCAGGGCATCCCCTCCCCGATGTCCCAGGGCACCGAGGCCCCTGGCTCCAAGCTGGGCTCTGTTTGTGAGGAGGGGACAACCATCCCTCCCTTCCCCCCACCCCCAGCTCCATGGGGAAGACATGGCTCATGCAGGCAGGGCTGGGCGTTGCTGCGGTTGGAGGCGGGGTGCCCATGGCGCCTCCAGGCCTCGGCTGTGCCCGTCTCCCTCCCCCCATGCACCGTGCTGCCGACTCCATGCACCTTCTCATCCATTTCACAATGCGTAAGACGCCCCTTGCTGATGTGAGGGTGAGGGTGAATTATTGGGCCTGTTTGATGATCAGCTTTGTCCTTGGCTGGCCGGGAGGCGGGGCCGGTGCACACAGCCCAGGGCTGGGATCCCAGGAGCGGTGCTCCCTGTGGTGCTGGAAGCTGGAATTCCACATGGAGGGCTGGCATCCGCGCTGGCACCGGCACTAGGTGTCCCCGTGTGTGTACTCAGCTTTCATCTTTTCCTGGAAGGCACAGTGGGGTTAGATCCTTGCCCACTGCAGTTCCCGGACCTTGATGGCCTCATCCGAGTGCTATCTAGGTGTCTCTCATGCTCAGATGGGGGGGCTGGGTTCCCTCGCCAGTCTCAAGGGTACCACACAGCAGTTTGCTCTGAGCCCTGCACTCGGGTGATTCCGTGCCAGGGGGCGGGGCTTGGATCAGAGAAGGAGCGGCTGTGGAGGTGTGCAGGGCGGGGAGGGGCGGGCGGGAGACGCCTGTGCAGAAGCCCTGGGGGCTGTGGGCTTGCCTTCTCAGCTACTGTGTGTGCAGGTCTTGAACAAGTTCACGGAAAGACCAGTGTGATGGCAGGAGTGGGGTGGGGTGGGAAGACGGGGGATGACTCCACAAACTTTGAAAAAAGACTTCTTATATCATGGAGTGTCGCTCCCCCTCTTCATGGGGGAACGACACTAAACCCTGCCTAGGCTTCATATCCGAGTCACGGCACCATTATGTCGCTCCCCCTCTTCGTGGAGGAACGACACAGGACCCTGCGCTGTTCTTTTGTCTGCTCGGCCCTCCCCGGGTTTGCTGCTGGTTCTTCCCGGGTTGGCTACCGTCCCTTCCACCTCCGTGGAAGGGCAGTTCCCCCTGGCCACATTCCCCACTTCCGCAGGGGAGCGGCACACCGCCGGCCGGCTTTCTCGGGGGCTGCACAGGTGTTCCTTCAGCTAGATGTTCCCCTTAGATGTTCCTGGTGCATGCCGTCTCTCTCCTCCTTTATAGTCCTCCTCCGCCAATCCTAACTCGGCTGCCCACACGCCGAGTACGCTGCTCTCCAATCAGGAGCAAGTCCTACAGTTTATTGGTTGAACTGGAGGCAGCTGTGCGGAAGCTATTTACCTCTCTCCCAGCGCCATATTGTGGGAGAGCAGATGCATAGAATAAGTCTTAATTCCAGTAACTCAGTCTAGTCCGGTTTGCTCCCCACAATGGAGTTCATGATTTTTTTTTTAAAGGATTTATTTGAAAGAGTTAGAGAGAGAGAATCTTCCACTGCTGGTTCACTCCCCAAATGGCTGCAACAGCTGGGGCTGGGCAGAGCTGAATTCGGGGGCCAGGAGCTTCCTCTGGGTCTCCCACATGGGTGCAGGGGCTCAAGCACTTGGGCCACCTTCTACTGCTTTCCCATGTGCATTAGCAGGGAGCTGGATAAGAAGTGGAGCAGCCAGGATTCAAACCAGTGCTCATGTGGGTGCCGGTGTCGCAGGTGGCGGCTTAAACCACACCAGCCCCCGTTTCATGAAAATAAACTGATGGTTTAATTCCATTTCCCACGGAGCATGGCAGCACCCCTCGTGGGCACTTGTGCTTCCCAGGGAGGGAGGGGAAGCAGCAGGGGCGGAGTTCAGGCTGGAGCAGGAAGGGCAGGCGGGGGGGGGCAGGCCAGGGCCTCTGCGCTTCAGCGGGGGCCCCCCCACTGCTGGGATGGGACCCGGTGAGGCTTTTTCCTGGCTGAAGGAGAGAGGAGGGTGTCCGAGCCTCTCCTTGGGGGGTCCCTGGCCCTGCAGCCGAGGGCTGAGGGTCCCAAGCTCTGGCTAGAATGGCGTTAGCCGGTCAAGTGGGAACCATTGCAGGAGAGGCAAGAAGGCAGGCTGGGCTGGTGCAGGGTCTAGGAGCTGGACTCCAGGCTCGGATGTGCAGGTGAAGGCTGAGGTTTGCAGGTCTCCTGGGATGGGGTGCGTGTGGTGTGTGTGCACGTGTGTGTGTGGTGTGTGCATGTGTGTGGTGTGCACACGTGTGTGGTGTGTGCACTTGTGTGTACGTGTGTGCACATGTGTGGCATGTGCGTGTGTGGTGCGCGCTCACATGTGTGGTGTGTGTACATGTGTGGTGTGTGCACGTGTGTGGTGTGTGCACATGTGTGGTGTGTGCATGTGTGTGGTGTGCGTGCACATGTATGCGGTGTGTGTGTGGTGTGTATGCATGCGCATGTGTGATATGTGTGCACGTGTGTGGTGTGTGTGCACGTGTGTGTGTGTGGTTGGGGGAGGGCTGACACTCAGAGGTTGGCCATCCCAGGAAGAGGAGTGGCCACCAACAGCCTCGGGAGTCTGGCAGTGCGGCTGGGCCCCCTGCAGGCAGACAGGCGGGGTCAGGGCAGGGCCGGGGTTTTCTCGCACATCTGCCCTTCCAGTTGTTGGCTTTTGTGGATGGCGGTCCTGGAGCCCGGGATGGGGGCCGGGGAGGAGGGGCAGGTCCTTGGCAGTGGGAAGTGTCGCCTGTCCTGGACCTTGGACCTTGGACCTTGGACCTGGACCTTGGACCTGGACCGGGAGTGACAGGCCCTCCCCTACAGACGTCCATGACCCTGCAGTGGCACCTGTATGAGATGGGGCGCTGCCCTAGGGTGCAGGAGATGCTGCGGGCGGAGGTCCTGGCTGCCCGGCGCCAGGCCCAGGGAGACATGACCGCGATGCTGCAGTCGGTGCCGCTCCTCAAGGCCAGCATCAAGGAGACGCTGAGGCAAGCACCCACCCACCTGTGCCCACTGCCCTGAACCCTGGGCGGGGCCGGGGGGCAAGGTCACGGGCCTGGGCTGGTGCAGGAGCAGCACCTGGACGCTGCCCCCAGGGCCCTCAGCAGGTGGGGCTGAGGCGGTGGGGGGCGTGGCCTGCGTCAGCTCCTGAGAACCCGCCTCCCGCAGGCTGCACCCCATCTCGGTGACTTTGCAGAGATACCTCGTAAATGACCTGGTCCTCCAGGATTACATGATACCTGCCAAGGTGGGTGCAGCCAGGGGCCCCGGGCTCTGCCAGGCACACAGGGAAGGCTGGGAGCTCTGCTCTGCCCTTGTACCTGGTGGGTGGGCTGGGGGGCCCGTGGGTGGCAGTGGCTGTCCAAGGCTGCATGAAGGGCTGCATGGACAGGATTGGCCCCTTGAAGGTCCCATGGCTGTGCGTCGTCTGGGGTCCCTGGGAGGTGGGCAAGGCTTGGGGACAGGCTGTCAGTGCGGGGCGGTGGGCAGCGCAGCCCATCCCGCCCGTCCGGCTGGGTACTGGGCTCGTGGCTGCAGGAGGGGCTCCCTCAGGCCTCCACCCCTCCCCCTTTGCCTAGACATTGGTGCAGGTGGCCAACTACGCCATGGGCCGGGAACCTAGCTTCTTTGCCAACCCAGAGAAGTTTGACCCCACCCGATGGCTGGACAAGGACAAGAACGCCACTCACTTCCGGAGCCTGGGCTTTGGCTGGGGTGTGCGGCAGTGCCTGGGCCGCAGGATCGCCGAGGTGGAGATGAGCATCTTCCTCATCCATGTAAGCATCTTCCTCCTCTTCATCATCATCGGGCCCAGGGCGGTGGAGGGAAGGGGCGGGGCTTGTGGACCAGTGAGGGTCAAGGCTACACCCAGGTTTGCAAGCACTGATGGTGTATTTGCGGGTGCCGTGTGCAGGGTTGAAGGAGGGGCTGGTGGTGACCCTCAAGTCACACCCAGCAGGCATTGCCTGCAGGTGCACAAGCCTGGGGCTACAGGAGTGTGGGGTGGGGGAGGACCTGCCCTGCCCCCACCGAAGCCCCCTCCCTCATCTCCCATCCTCAGATGCTGGAGAACTTCAGAATCGAAAGCCAACAGCTCAGCGACGTGGGTACCAAGTTCAACCTCATCCTGATGCCCGAAAAGCCCATCATCTTAACCTTCCGGCCTCTCCATCAGGACACGCCCCCCGCGTGATGGGAGGGGAAGGCCCCGCCCCACCAGTGAGGGGAGTCACGGCTGTCGGTTCATCTCTGGCCCCACCCCGCTCCTCTTCCCCACTCTGCCCCTTCCTCGCCCTCATCAGGACAATAAACGGCCGAACCGCACGGAGGGTCTTCCTTCCCCTGGAGCCCCTGGGGTGTTTGTCACCCAGTACAGAAGCCTCAGGGGCTCAGGCACCCACTTAGAGGCCCTCTCCGTGGAGACCTGCCTGCTGCTGGCAGCTCAGGAGCCAGCAGGGGGCTGGGGGCCAGGCAGAGCGTGTGTGTGGGGGTGCAGCTTCCCTGTGCCCGGGCAGCCAACAGAGGTGCAGGTGGAGCCCGGCTGTGGGAGCAGGGAGCCCGGCGCTGTGGGCTAGTCCTGCCCGCCTGGTGCGCCCACCTGGCTAGATGGAGACATAGCTCCTTGGCCGGCCCTGCTGCTAGCCCCGGGAGGCGGAGGCTGGCCCAAGGCCACGCCGCTCTAGGAAACGGGCCGACGCTCTTGGTGCTCCAATGTTTAATGAAGTCACAGGGTGGGCTGGGGCCGCGGGGAGACCCCCAGGACAGCGGGGGAGGCCTGCTCTGGAGCTCAGGTCTGCTGGGGGTCCGCGGGCTTGCCGAGCTTCGTGTCCGAGCCTGGCGGCAGGGGCTCCAGATCCGAGGGACGCTCGAGGTCCTTGGCGGGGGTCGAGGCTTTCCATGGCTGCAAGGCGAGGGGGGTGAGCGCCCCGTGTCCCGGGTGGGCCGGCCACAGCAGGCCTCCCAGGATCCAAAACCCAGGGGGCCAGCAGGTGCCCCCCACGGTGCCCAGGGGCGTCCCCTGTCGGTCCCCTAGTCCTTTGTGAGCCTCCCTCCCAACCCAGCCACCACGCCTCCGTACGTGAGCAGAGAGTGGACAGGCCGAGCGTGGGGGTTCTTGGGGAGACAGTGGCTGTGCCGTCTCCTGAGAAGGAGCCTGTGCCATCCCAGGCTGGGGGCCACAAGCTACCCATGGGGTGCAGGAAGCACCCGGCGTCTCCTGGTCACCTCCTCCAGGTGTCTCCTGGCCACCGCAAGGCCAGGGCGGCCTCGAAGGGTCTTCTCCGCTCAGCAGGGGCAGGAATGGGGCCAGAGCAAGGGTGGTGGGGACACAGCAGGACCCAGAGCCCAGGAGCGGCTCCGCCCAGTCTGTCTCAGTGACTTAAGGGGTGGGGTGGCTCCCAGCCCCAGCAGCTGCTCCCACGGAGGGGCCACTCACGGGGGCGTCTATGATGATGGAGTTTGAGGGGCGCCCAAAGCCGTGTTCCTGCTCCTGCAGGCGCATGGCCAAGTCCTGCTTCTCCCGCCCCCAGCGCCGAGCCGAGTCCTCCAACTGCGGGCACAGAGGGGGACAACTGGTGGGCAGTGGGCAGCAGGGCCTGTCCCTGAAAGCCAGGACAAGCAGGCCCGGGGGAAAGCAAAGCTCTGGGGAGTATGGCCTTGATCTTCCCATGACCCCAGGAGCAGCAGGGGAGGGGAGGGGGCCACCCAGTGAGACAATGCAGAGGGACCTCCCTGCATTCCTGCAGCGTGCTGAGCCCTGATCCTGGTCCCACACTGAGCCCCGACCCTGGTCACACCATGATTCTAGATCCTGGTCTCACACTGAGCCCTGATCCTGGACACCCCCTGAGCCCTGATCCTGGTCCCACACTGAGCCCCGACCCTGGTCAGACCGTGATCCTAGATCCTGGTCCCACACTGAGCCCTGATCCTGGTCCCACACTGAGCCCTGATCCTGGCCCCACACTGAGCCCTGACCCTGGACACCCCCTGAGCCCTGATCCTGGTCCCACACTGAGCCCTGACCCTGGCCCCACACTCAGCCCTGACCCTGGTCCCACACTGAGCCCTGACCTTGGTCCCACACTTGGTCCTGACCCTGGTCACCCCTTGAGTCCTGATCCTGGCCCCACACTGAGCCCTGATCCTGGACACACACTGAGCCCTGACCCTGGCCCCACACTGAGCCCTGATCCTGGCCCCACACTCAGCCCTGACCCTGGTCCCACACTGAGCCCTGACCTTGGTCCCACACTTGGTCCTGACCCTGGTCACCCCTTGAGTCCTGACCCTGGCCCCACACTGAGCCCTGATCCTGGCCCCACACTGAGCCCTGACCTTGGCCCCACACTGAGCCCTGATCCTGGACACCCCCTGAGCCCTGATCCTGGTCCCACACTGAGCCCTGACCCTGGTGCACACTGAGCCCTGACCCTGGACACACACTGAGCCCTGACCCTGGCCCCACACTGAGCCCTGATCCTGGACACACTGAGCCCTGATCCTGGTCCCACATTGAGCCCTGACCCTGGCCCCACACTGAGCCTGTCCCTTGACACACACTGAGCCCTGACCCTGGCCCCACACTGAGCCCTGACCTTGGTCCCACACTGAGCCCTGACCCTGGCCCCACACTGAGCCCTGACCTTGGTCCCACACTGAGCCCTGACCCTGGTCCCACACTGAGCCCTGACCCTGGCCCCACACTGAGCCCTGATCCTGGACACCCCTTGAGCCCTGATTCTGGACCCACACTGAGCCCTGATCCTGGTCCCACCACTGAGCCCTGATCCTGGTCCCACACTGAGCCCTGACCCTGGTCCCACACTGAGCCCTGATCCTGGTCCCACCACTGAGCCCTGACCCTGACCCCACACTGAGCCCTGACCCTGGCCCCACACTGAGCCCTGATCCTGGACACACCCTGAGCCCTGATCCTGGTCCCACACTGAGCCCTGACCCTGGACACCCCCTGAGCCCTGATCCCGGTCCCACACCGAGCCCCAACCCTGGTCACACCGTGATCCTAGATCCTGGTCTCACTGAGCCCTGACCTTGGTCCCACACTGAGCCCTGATCCTGGTCCCACACTGAGCCCTGATCCTGGACACCCCCTGAGCCCTGACCCTGGCCCCACACTGAGCCCTGATCCTGGACACACTGAGCCCTGATCCTGGTCCCACATTGAGCCCTGACCTTGGTCCCACACTGAGCCCTGATCCTGGTCCCACACTGAGCCCTGATCCTGGACACACACTGAGCCCTGACCCTGGCCCCACACTGAGCCCTGATCCTGGACACACTGAGCCCTGATCCTGGTCCCACATTGAGCCCTGACCTTGGTCCCACACTGAGCCCTGACCCTGGTCCCACACTGAGCCCTGACCCTGGCCCCACACTGAGCCCTGATCCTGGACACCCCTTGAGCCCTGATTCTGGACCCACACTGAGACCTGATCCTGATCCCACCACTGAGCCCTGATCCTGGTCCCACACTGAGCCCTGATCCTGGTCCCACCACTGAGCCCTGATCCTGGTCCCACACTGAGCCCTGACCCTGGCCCCACACTGAGCCCTGATCCTGGACACACCCTGAGCCCTGATCCTGGTCCCACACTGAGCCCTGATCCTGGACACACTGAGCCTGTCCCTTGACACACACTGAGCCCTGACCCTGGACACCCCCTGAGCCCTGATCCCGGTCCCACACTGAGCCCCGACCCTGGTCACACCGTGATCCTAGATCCTGGTCTCACTGAGCCCTGACCTTGGTCCCACACTGAGCCCTGATCCTGGTCCCACACTGAGCCCTGATCCTGGACACCCCCTGAGCCCTGATCCTGGTCCCACACTGAGCCCTGATCCTGGACACACACTGATCCCTGATCCTGGCCCCACACTGAGCCCTGATCCTGGACACACTGAGCCCTGATCCTGGTCACACACTGAGCCCTGACCCTGACCCCACACTGATCCCTGACCCTGGACACACACTGAGCCCTGACCCTGGCCCCACACTGAACCCTGATCCTGGCCCCACACTGAACCCTGATCCTGGCCCCACACTGAGCCCTGACCCTGGCCCCACACTGAGCCCTGATCCTGGACACACTGAGCCCTGATCCTGGTCCCACATTGAGCCCTAATCCTGGTCCCACACTGAGCCCTGACCCTGGCCCCACACTGAGCCCTGACCCTGGCCCCACACTGAGCCCTGATCCTGGACACACTGAGCCTGTCCCTTGACACACACTGAGCCCTGGCCTGGTTGAGTGCTGAGCCCCCTTTTGTTCATAGACTGAGCCTTGCTCCTGCCCACACTGAGCCCCAGCCCTCGCACGCCCTGGCGAGTCCCTGGGCTCACCCACCTGGCTCTCCAGGGCCAGGATCCGGCTCTGAGCGCGCTCCAACTTGGCCAGGAGGTTGAACTTGTCTGCACCGCCAGACAGGAGGTCCTGTGGGCAAAGCCGCAGCTCACGCAGGGCGGGGCCTGGAGGAGGGCAGCAGCCGCGGGAGCTGGGGCCGCCCTGGGCGGCAGCGGGAGAAGCCAGGCGGATCTGGGGGCCCAGGCCCAGGCTGCGCACCGATCCTGGCGTTCAGAACAGAGCTGTTTCCCCTGGGCCACCTGTCCTGTCCTGGAGCCCCCTTTCCCCGCCCCACACAGAGCGGCAGTGGAACCGGGAGTCCTGGCGGGGCGGGCCCCCTTCCCCGTCTTCACCTGGAGTCAGGTGCGCTCTCAAGTGGGAAGTGGGGCACCCACCTGTGCAGGCAGGGTCTCTGTGCCCCCGGGGTGGCCCGCACCATCCGTCCCTCGCAGCCTCTGTCCCACATCTCCTGCTCCCTGCTCCCCGGGGTCCACCTGGGATAGGGGAGAAGGGCTCCGTCCCAGGACATGATCCCAGGGGGCAAGGGGGGTGTCAGGGGCCTAGGGGTCAAGGGTCAGTTGGGGCCAGGAGAAAAAGCAAGGAGCTCAGGCCCCAGAGACCCCGGCCGCGGCTCTCACCGGCAGGGCCTGCTGCTGCAGGATGATGGGGGCCGACTGGTGCCGGCTCTTGTCCAGCTCTGCCCGCAGCCGCGAGTTTTCCGCCAGCAGCAGGGAGTACACGTCGGCGGGCAAGTTCTCTCCCTTGGAGCCCGGAGGGAGGCCGGGGGCAGAGGGCCCGGGGAGGCCTGTGATTGGCCACGGGTGTCTGTGAGATGGGTGCCTGCCGCTGGCCCCAGCGTTTTCCTCTGCTCTGCCCCCCGCGTGCTCCCGAGCCTGCAGTGGCTCCCCGCTGCCCAGGTGAACAGGTCCCCACCCCCTTCAGAGTCTGAGCCCAGCCTTCGCCCCGACCCGCTCCCCATTCCTGCTCGGCGGATCCCGCCCCCTCCTTGCCCGCCCCTTCTCGGCCCCTGAGCCTTTGCCAGGCTGTGCCCCTCCTGGGCTCCCTGTGCCCCTCTCACTCAGGCCCCTGGATGCTCTCAGGATCCAGCTTGCAGTATTTTCTGGAAGCGGTCAGAACCCCCGCCCCTCCCTCAGAGCCCAGCCCTGGGCCCTGGGGGGGGGGGGCGGCACAGGTGGCCTTTGCTTCCGCCTGCCCTGGTGCAGCGCCACCTGCTCCGAGTGCGGCTTGGCTGACACCCACGGAGAACAGGAGCCACCGATTTCATCAGGTGTTTGCTCTGTAGCGCAGAATCCTTAAAGGCACAGGGAGCTGGCGGCCGGGTTCCGGGGGTCCTGCTGGGGAAACTCCTGACCCCTGCCCTGCCTGTGTCCTAGGGTGCGGAGGAGCCGCAGGACGCCAGGGGCCCCGGACGCGCCCAGGGCCTTACTGGGCAGGGGAGCAGGCCACGCTGGGTCCCGCAGGTGCAACTCAGCCACGGTCCTGCGGTTGGAAGGCAAGGACCGGGGCGGGGGGTGAGTGCCAGGGACCCCCACCACTCACTCGCGCTGGGCTTCTCCTGCAGCCTGCTCGGCGCGGGGGCCTCGCTCCAGTCCCGCAGCATCCGCTCCATCTTCTGGATCACCTGCGGGCAGAGCACCGAGGCCGCGTTGGCCAGGGCTGTCCCCGGGCCGGCGCGGGGCGGGCCCCCGGCGGGCAGCCGGCACCTGCCTTCTCCTGGTGCCGCACGGTGTCTTCCAGCGCGCGCATCTGCTGCAGCTTGTCCTGGTAGCGCTTCAGCAGCGCGGCCTGCGGCGGCTGCGCCTGGTGCGAGAGCAGTAGCTCCTTCTCCCGGTCGTTCTTCTGCGGGTGCAGAAGAGAGACGCGTGGGTGCCCGGGAGCCAGCCTTGGCCCCGGGGTCCTCCCTGGCGGGGCCCCCGTCTCCGTCCCCGCTCACTCGAATCAGCTCGTTCTGCAGGTGCTGCACCTTGTCCCGCAGCTGGTTCACGTCCAGCTCTGCCAGCAGCAGCCTCTCCTTCATGGAGCCTGTTGGGGGCACAGGGGGTGGCTCAGGGAGGTGGGGGGGGGGTCTCTCCCTGCTGAGTCAGCAAAGTCAGGGCCAGGAGGGCAGCGTGGACTCTGTCTTTCCCAGCAGCAGGGGCCGTGGGAGCGTCTGCGGGTGTGGGCGGAGCTCCTGCCCTCCCCTCCCACGTCTCCGTGCCTCAGCCCCCCCCCCCCCCACCGGGTGAGCTCACCCAGGTTCTGCAACTCCTGGGCCTCGGCCTGCGCCTCCTCGGCCTCCCGCCGGGCCAGCCGGCTCCGCAGCCTGCGGTTCTCGCCGTCCAGGACGCTGGCCTGCTTCCGCAGCGACAGGATGTCCTCTGCCATCTTCTGCATGGCTCGCCTGTAGTTGTTCATCTCCTGGGAACCCCGGAGCCCAGGGCTGAGCCCCTGCACCACGGCTGCCCCCCGCCCGCATCGCCACCTCCACCTGGAAGTCCCGCGGGTCACCCCAAGCCCTAGGCTGTGCCTCCCAGGCTCAGTCCTCACCCCTGCTGGCCACCATGAGGCCGGCTGCTCTGATACGCTCTCACGCCCCCGACACCAGTTCTGGGCAGCAGGCCTCAGCATGGGCTACAGAGCCTGGGGAGATGCTGGACTGGCCGAATCACCACCATGTCCTGTCCTCGTCCCTCGTCCCTGACCCCTGGAGCCCAGGGGAGCCCCTGGCTGAAGCTGTTCAGCTGGCCCAGAGTGCAGAGGGGACACGGAGTATGCCTGGGGGAGACCCCGAGAAGGGCGCGGTGTTGAGGTCGGGACCCAGTGGTGAGGGGAGCGTGCCAGGGCAGGGAGCCAGACCCGGTCGCCAGGTTAGAGACGGCCCTCGTCCACCCTCCTGGTGGAGGACACCCCCTGAGAGTTTACCCCCTCTAAGTGGTATTTTTCGGTTTTATTTATTAGAGAGAGAGGAGAATTCCCACCCACTGGCTCACTCCCCCAAGGTCCAGAACAAGCAGGGCCAGGCCAGGCTGAAGCCAGGAGCCGGGAGCTCCATCCGGGTCTCCCAGGTGGGCAGCACTGGAGCTGTCACCTGCAACCTTCCAGGGTGCCCGTCAGCAGGAATGGGGGCAGGGCTGGGACTTGAACCCAGGCCCTGTGATACAGGGCATGGGCGTCCCGGGCAGGGTCTGAACCGCCACACCACACGTCCACTCCTCTCCGTGCTCAGGACAAGCCTGGGAGGGCAGATCTTGTCACCCCCCATTTTTCTGACGAGGGAAGCAGGGGCCGGAGAGGTGAGCGGTCTGCTCGGTGCCAGCACCAAGGCCTGGGGCAGCGGGGCCGGCGGGCGCCGTCTGGGCTCTGGTGCTCCGGGGGACCTCCACGGCGCAAACGCCAGCCTGGCTGCCCCCGGAGAGCCACGCCTCCCCAGGGGCTGGGAGGGAGGGACCTTGGCCAGGCGCCCCCTCCCCCCCACCGTGGGCCCCCAGCAGGACCTTGGGCCGAGCAGCTGGGCCGGGAGGCCGTAGCCTGCGGGCAGCAGCCCTGACCTCTCCCCACAGGGCCACGCTGTGCGTCACGGCCCAGTCTTGGACACCATGGCCCCAGATTCCTCCGCGCTCCTGGGCCCTCGGCCGCTGCTCCTGTTGGGGCGGGGCCAGGTTTCCCTTGGGGGATCGGCGGGGACCCCTCACAGCCCGGGTGAGTCTCGCCCCAGCCACGCTGAGAGCCTGGGGCACCCTGCAGACGACAAAGACGCAACTGTGGCTGGGGAGGCAGGCAGGGGGCGACTGTGGGACGCGGCGAGGAGGCTCACGTCTGCGGCGAGGTGGGGGTGTGTGGCTGGGGAGGGTCCACCCCCTGGCCCCCAGCGATGGATTCATGGGAGTTTGCTTTTCCCACAGTCGGTTCCCGTTCCTGTCGGTGGGTCGCCTTTTGCAGTTTATATGGTAAAAGGACTGAGCGCAATAGTTTCCAGTCTATAGAGACAGCCTCCAGGCCAGGGTGGAGAAGGGATGTGTGGGGGCTGGGGACGGAGGGGTATGTAGGGGAGGCGTGGGCATGAGCAGGGGCAGGGGTGGGGAGGGTTCTCCCAGGGGAGGGAAGGGGGCTAGGGGCAGGTGCAGACAAGGTGCCCACCTGAGGCAGGTGGGAGGCCCTGCAGGGGCTGCAGTAGGAGCATAGGGAGGGGCGGGGCCGGGCCGGGCACACCCTTCTCTCCTCCTTGGCCCTTCCCTGGGTGGCCACTCAACCTCAGAGTCCCCCCGGGGGTCCCCAGGGTCTGGCCCTGGCAGGCCAGGCCATCTGAATGTAGTTTGCCTTTTCCACCAGCAGGGGGCAGCAGTGTTGCGCAGACGCTCAGGCCACCCCCCACACCATGAAGCAGGAGCTAGGAAGGGTGTGTGCAGGGAGTCTTAGACTCATCCCCGAGCCCGGCACACATGGCCCTGCTCCAAGTGGTCCAGCTGCCTGCCCAGACCTGCTGTGCCCAGCTCTTCCCGTCTCAGAGACTCCGGTGGGCTGGCCACCTGTTCAGGGTCGCACAGAGAATCCGGATCTCAGCTGGGTCCTGTCCTGGGCAGGCGATGGGACTGAGTGGGGACAAGACCCAGCCTGAAGCTGCCCCAGCTCTTCCCACCGGCACAGCAGCGGCACCTGAGGCTCACCCACGTGCAGGGCAGTTGAGAGGGGCTTAGGAGCAGCTTGGGACGCATTTGATCACGCATGTGCACATGCACGCACACGCATGTACACGCCAGCCTAAACCACGCAGCATCCCCCTCTCACCCAGGACAGACCACGGGTGCTCAGCCCGGGGGGGGTCCTCACAAGGCCCTGTCTGCACCTCTCTGTCTAGTTGGAACTTGGGGTTTGAGGGGGAAGAGTCCAGCCCCGGTTTTCTGAGGGCGAGGTGGGGCCAGGTGCAGCGAGGGCTGCGTGATTTGGCCAAGGTCTCGTCCTCATACGGGGCAGAGCTGCCCTGGGATTTGGTTCTCTGGGGGCTGTTGGGAGTATGCGCCCCTCCCCCCGAGGCTCAGGGTGACGGTGCTGGAAGGGTCTGAGCTGGCCGAGATTCTGGGTCAGAGCAGAAACGTGCGGGCCCTGGCCTGGCCATCTGAGCCCTACAGCTTCCTCCTCCAGGAAGGCCCCCCAGCTGGGCGTCCTTCCTGCTGCCTCAAGACACAGCCTTCCGGGGGGCAGTGTGTGGCACTGGGGAGAGCCCCGCCCCATGGGAGCGCCCAGTCTGAGTTCTGGCTCCCTGCTAATGCACACCCCGGGAGGCAGCGGGTGAGGGCTCAAGTCCTTGGGCCCCTGCCGCCCACCCAGCAGGCCCACCCGACGTGGGAGACCCGGATGGAGCTCCAGGCTGCTGGCTTTGGCCTGGCCCAGCCCCTGCTGCACAGGCATTTGGGAAGAGTTATCTGTCTGCGACACTGCCTCTCTGTCTTTCAAATAAAATGGAAACAATAAATACGCAGGACCCACTGCCTCGCTCTCGGGTCGGTGATGGATGCTGGCGGTATCCCTACTCCCCACACGGAGAGGCGGGGCCTGGTTCCCTGCTCATGTCACCGGCCTCACGGGGGGCGGGATGCAGCAGAAGTGACCCCTGGGGACTGCCGAGGCCAGGCAGTAGGAGCCGTGTGGCACCCTCCCTCCCCCGGGACACCTGCCATCGCCCCACGGCCGCCATGCTGGGAGGAAGCCTGGGCCTACTTGCCCACCCCCAGCTGCGCCAGCGGCTGCCCCCAGGGCCTCCCAGCAGGGCCAGGCATCGTAACGACCCTTCTAATACTGAGGTGTGGGGGTGCTTTGCCCTGCTGCCATAGTGGCGAGAGCAGTCTCCCCGCCTCTCGGAGCCTGACTGTGGCTCCCACGGACAGGTCCAGCTTTCAAAGTCAAAGCCCTCTGTGCCAGCACAGACCCCACCCCTGTAAGATCTGAGCCCTGGCCACGCCAGGGTCCCTCTCGTTCCCTTTAAAGTTTTGTTTACTTGAAAGGCAGAGAGACAGAGAGACGGGGGGGGGGTTCTGTTCATTGGTTCGCTCCCCAAATGTCTGTAGCAACCAGGGCTGAGCTAGGCTGAAGCTGGGAGGCTGGCCGCCATCCAGGTCTGCCACGTGGGTGCCAGGGGCCCTCACCTGCTGCCTCCCAGGTGCGTCACCCGGGAGCTGCGGTGAGGAGCAGGCACGGGCTCCAGCCCAGGCGCTCCGAGGTGGAGGCAGTGCCCCACCTGGCGCCTTAACCACTATGCCCGCTGCCCGCCCTGGCGCCTTAACCACTATGCCCGCTGCCCGCCCTGGCGCCTTAACCACTATGCCGCTGCCCGCCCCTCCCTGGACGCCTTCTGTCCTCAAACCCTTGCCTACCTCTGCCAACAAGTCATCCCTGGCTCTCACCAGCCTGGCGCCCTCCACCTGCTCTCCTGGGGGACCCATTCCCAGGCGACCCTCTGACCACATCCTGGCTCCTGTCCAGCTCCTGCAGGTCCCCTAATGCCTGAGGCCTCTCTGGCTGACCGGACAGCTGTTAGCCCCATGTCTGTGAAATGCAGCTCCAGAGGTTGGGGCCACTTCCGAGGGGGCCAGCCGTGGGGGGGGGGGCGGAGGAGAGGGTGAGGTTGTGCCCAAGATGTGCCATGGGTATCTCCCCAGGGTTGGGGCTCCCTGCAGCCCCCTCTATTCCTGGGCACGCCCCTTGCGGCCCACTGTGGGACAATAGAACTACAGTGCCCGGCGGTCAGCGGCTGCCCAAGCCTCGTCCTCTCCCTGCACTCTCCAACCTCACCACCAGAGGGCAGGCAAGGGAGTCCGCAGGCCCCAGTGGCCAGGTGGGGACAGAGGCACAGAGCCGGCCCAGGCCAAGCAGGAGGGCGAGGCCACACTCCATGAGGCCATGAGGCCGGGGCCTTCACCCTGGGGACGGCCCCTGTGTCACCTGCCACCGCCCAGGGTGCCCTGAGCTTGCCAGGCCCATTCGGGGCTCAGCCTGGACGGCTCCCTTCCACCTGCTCCACCGTCTGTGCTCCTGCTGGGTTGGGGAGCAGCTCCGGAAGGAGGGAACAGCCTGCCTGGGACACCCTAGGAGGGAAGCCAGAGGCCAGAGGTGGGGGAGGCACTGGAGCTGGCCCTGGGCTGGGTGGGATTGGAGGGGTGGGGACAGCACGGACTTGGGCTGCTGTTGTGTGGCAGCAAGACACACAGGTCTGTCTGGCCGGAGAGCCGCAGCAGGCCTCGCTGGCCAGGCCAGCCAAGGAGGAGGTGCCAGGAACGTGCTTCTGAATGGAGGGTGGGCGGGAGCCACAGAAGATTCTAGAACCAGGGCTCTGCTCGCCCCGGCTCCCCCAAGAGAGTCAGCCTGGCTCTCCGCCACAGACCCGCTGTGTATAGCAGGTGCTCCTGCTCGCTGGACGCTGGACG